AAGGTAACGAGGTGAAAGTATAGATGTACTCCTAAATAATTTTTACATTGACGTGCAAATTATTCTCAAATACTTACTAACTCACACGGCGTAGTTTCGTGGGTACGAAACACTCGCTGTTTCTCAATATTCAAGATATTAGGCTAAACAAATATAGAAGAGAATGTCAACCACAAGGTAAACTTTAACATAGGCTTTCCAGTTTCCACTTCTCCGTGATTTCTATGTTTGCGTGTACTTATTTTTTTACGTCTAGTCTTTTTTACTCATTATAAGTTACGATATAATTTCATTTTTGAAACACTATGTACGTACTTAAATACATCTAATACGATATTACAGTACCCATACCCGTGCAGTAACTCAGTATTGAACAATGCGTATATTCAACTAAAATTTTACTTAAACTTTTATTTTATTAATATATTACATTGTAAAATAATAAATTAATTAATTTAAACTGACGAATGAGAAGAAAATTTAAAAAATCCTTCAAATTGCTATATCATGCTTTAATAGCATATTTCGTAATGTGTATAAAATATTGGCCAATGGCTAACACATTCATGGTGAATATTAGTGAGCAAATAATAATGAACAGTAATGTGTCAAAGTGAGGCAGGGGTCACTGTTATGAAACATAGATGATGATATGTCTGACGAATTTATAGGAACTGAATGAATAAAGATATTACTTGAGAATAGAAACTTCTAATGATACAACCAATATGAATTATGCGTTAACAATTCATGGGCATATAATAGCTTGATTGTATGTATTACAAGGCTAAAGAAAACAGTTTCGGGTTTAAAGGGAATTAGTAATGCGTTTACGCAACGGTCATTTCATAATTAAGTCATTTGGTTCGAAATATTCTTTAGTGCATAAAAATAATTAGCTAATGGTGTGACGTCACAGCCGATTGGGAAATGCGGGAAAGCCCAGTATATGATTCAATAGATTTATGCACATTTATATGCCATTCACATGTACGCGTTTCAAGCGTGGGATTTCTTAGTTACAATGCCATCGGTTATTTTCATCTAACGATGTTTACACCCTTGACTGGAATAGAACGTAACTTTGCATGCATGTTAGTTCTTTTGTTCGATAAAAAATAAATAAAATTAACGTGATTGAATATGGTGAACAAAAACGTTTTTAAAATATCTATTCAATAATAAATGTTCCATCGACATTTTCAACTAAGTCACACATCAATTTCGAAATTTAAAAATACAAGCCCGGAACAACAAACTAGATTAGTTCGATTGAATGACATTGGTAGAACAATTCACTTATAAGCTACCTTCGAATGACGTAATCAGTAATGGACTAACATACACGTACACTCATAAAACATAACTTCACATAATATTACTCAAATATTTATGTACCTCTAAGTATAAGGTATATTATATACTTGTTACTTATGGTTTTGTTCAATCAAGGTTATGGATATTTGATTTATAAAATATTTATTTATTAACAACGTCATTTCCTATCGGCTAAAATAATCAGTTCTGAATACATTCTAGCTTAAGGCAAAACTAATATTTAAACTTTAACGTATAGATTTTCTTCAGATGCCTCAAAATTCGCTGACCTCCGTTTTAATCTTTATTCGTTATAGTGTCAAGGAGGCCTACTCCTAACGTGTCACACACACATAAATCTAACAAACCCATAAAGAACCAAAATTGAGAAGTATGAACCAGAAAATTATGTAAATTCATACACGATTAGAATAGTAAACTTTCCTCATGAGGGAAAGTGGTCAAAACTGGGTACAGTTGTGACCGTATAATAACATGTGGTTACGACACTATCACCGGATATGCAAAAATATAGTGAAATCAGAAACAAAGAACCGTTTCTATTTATTAGTGTCGTTCAATTTAGGCCCTAGCAATCACCAAAATATAGATTTTTTTATATATTTTATAGATTGCTAGGGCGCTAAACTGTGAGAGTTAAAGTTTATTAGGCAAGTAACATTAAATAAAGGTACGAATTTATACTATTTTATTGATACATTTTCTTAGATTTTTTACAAGATAAACCTAAGTCAACCCATCTGTAAGCAACATTAATGTAGTAAATCGAAATAATCTTATCTCGTACATCCTCACCATCTCCTATAAAATTGTTAGTATGCAGTCACGGTTTCACTACTATACAGGTCTTCTACTGCCACATTTGTAACAAAAATGTCAATTTAACCCATACCACCCACCATTGTGCCTACTATATAACTGAAATATTTATTATCATTTGCAATATAAATCAAAGTAACATTGGTTTTATTTTAAGAATAATTGAAATAAATTAATGAAGAACAGATAAAAAAAGAATAAATGAATGATTGGAAGAATGTAGCAGTAATATTCTTGACTCCCTTCCCTATAATCACAATAGGCGATTTGTATGACCTGTAAAGCAAAGCTTTTACAATGCATGCTCTTTGTGGGTTCGACGTATCTAAAGAGGAGAAAATTTCTCGCGACACCATTAACCAGCGCAATCAATGATAAAACGATGTTCAAGCGTACACCTATTCGGCCTAGATCAGCCGGTTGCAGTTCATGTGTGTCAGGTGTCAGATCGCAAGTGCATTCGTACCGTTACCGGTTCGACGACGCGTTACCGTTTTGACCGTGACTCGACCGAGACGCTTGTGTGAGCTTTTGAATCATTTGGTGCTAAAGTAAATGGCATTTTGGTTACAGATTTTTTATTAACAACCTGATGAGATGATGTTTTAAATCGATTTTCAGACGGCATTTTATAGTTATTGTTGGCATTTTCCCATATATAAATATGTACATTAAACACACACGAAGTCGCGTATTGTTGTAGGTATTATGGAGACTATGTCTCGATGGCAGGTAGGATGTAGAGTTGGCGTATTCTAAACTCAGTACCGATTTCCTTTGTTTAATGCTAGCCGCACATAATACGTTTTTGAAGTGTTCTTTTTATACTTAGTTTCAATACAAAGCCCTGCCCGACTTTCCTTTGTTTAAAATTAGTTCAAATGTTTCCATATTGTTCGGATGTGTGGTTCCTTTTGAATTGAATGATCTATACTTATAGTAAATAAATTTTGTTATCATTATCATATATTTTACCTGCCCATTATTACCATCTTATTATCAATTCGATTATACACGTATTAAATTTTAATACATTCGACTAAACGACTAAACGATTTGAAGAAGTTATTTGAAAATTGCATTCCGAGAAAGAAGACCATTATTAGACCGGATTAATTAATAGTGGCTTCGTTAAGGCTTATATGATTCCAAACTTGAGAAAGTGTAAAACAGAACTTATCGAAGGGATTCGTTCGAATTACAAAAATTGCATCGATGATTGATTTAATACCAAAGATCAATAATTATCTGCCTGAAGACAACGAATGAATGACTCTCTAGAGAAACTTGTAATGTAAATTTTATATTTTTACAAATTATCAATAATTTTATTAAATTCATTGTTATTTATGAAGAATTCAGGCTATCAACGCAAAAGTAGTTGATATACATATAGATAGTAATGAGGGATTTTAAATTAGCTTCAGCAAATTCAGTTGTATATAACAGTTATCAATATGCAATTATAATTTTTTTATACATAAAATGCAAGGAGCCTAAAAGGGAGTGGAATAAAAGATAACCATGGCTTCTTTTATTTTTCAATATGAAATGTTTATAGGGACCGTAAATAGGAAATGCACTTATTTGTTAGAAAAGGACAAAATAGTTTTTGTTCATTTTTAAACAATATGTCTTTTTCTTCCGCCATTTTAACCTTGCAAAGCGAAAATAAATAAACAGCAAACTGTCACCAATTTTGAAAAAGAATAAACAACGAATGCGTTACAATAATGACCTGTATTATTTTTCAAATGAAAATAGTTAAAAAGAGATTATATTTCAGCCGCCTCTAGTAGAATCCAAATATAATATAATTATGTACTTTAGAATCATTTAAAGTAATATTCTAGAAAATAAATGTGGGTTTTGCGTTGAACACCTTAAGTAAGTAAGTAAGTAAACCTTAAGGTTTTGGAGTATGTAATTGAGACTCATCATTTGGTGTAAGTATTAACTCTCCTAAATTTCGGTCGCAGGATACGTTTACCTCTGGATCGACTTTGTCTTTTGAGTATATTTCAGAGAGCTTATTAAAATTTTATGTAAGTAATAATCACATAATATTTTTTTTACTCCACAGTCGACGTTTATTATTACTAAGACGAAAAATTTGTATGATGACAAATGATACATTTTCATAATGTTTAAACTACGAACATTACCCATAATTATATAAAATTATGCGAACCCATTCATACTTTTACTGGTTATTGTTAACATGACGTTATTTACAATCTTTTATTTTACCTAAGTATAACTTCATGTCTAATGAATTAATATGTATTAAGCATTAATGAGTTAATTTAATTAATTAATTATATCTTTTTTATATAAATATAATAAACGAACTTCAAAAGTTTGTGGAATTACATCTATTTGCCAAGTTTTATTGAAAACTGTTAACGAAAAGTGGTTGATATCCAAAAACCCTGATTTAACCCCTAATTTGCTACCCTTAGAGGTGTTTCTTCGAATTTAAATGGGATGAATACTAAAGTGCTCTATTCCAACAAAAAGAGTTATCAAAATCGGTTCACAAATGCCAGAGTAATCGCGTAACATACATTAAAAAAAAACATGCAGTAGAATTGAGAACCTCCTTCTTTTTTGAACTCGGTTAAAAAGCAAGTAACTGGTTTTGTGGCAAAATTTCAAAACTAATAACAGATTTTTTTTTAAATATGATTCGATAATTATTAAATAAGGTAATGCGGAATACTTTAGTTGACCAGTAGCAGTGCATTTACCTAACAATAATTACAAACAATTCATACGGAATTCGCAACAGCCTTGAATACTAGTTTAAGTATACTCAAAAATGTGTGTATACTACAACTTACCTATAAAAATACACAGGAATAAAAGACACGACCCGAAAAAATATTGTGTAAGCTTCATATTTAAGTCTATCCCAAATCTACACTTTCACTGAAAATAGTCACTAAATCACTGCATTACAATCCAACCAAAAAAAAATTATAATTTAAAAAATCAATCACAGAAATGTTATTCACTTTCTATTTTAGCGCGTTATAAGATTTTTTTATTTAACAATATTTTTCGATCGGGAAATGCCACAAATCTGACAGCTCTACATGCGAAGAAATTTTCCCGCGCATCGGGCAATCTCGTTCGAAAGTCAAACGCCAACTGCGCGCTGGCTGGCTGTCAGTCAGGTGTGCAAGCAAGCTGCCTGCAAGTAAACGGACCACGTACTTATTACCCGGCCAGATCAAAAACCGAAATAATTATCGCCACTGTTCTCTAAACCAACGTCTATCTTAAATGAGTCTGCTAACAGTTTTGGTGAATTTTACATGCCCTCCACCATGCGGTGTTTTCATTAGTGTGCGTAACGGCATTTCACAGTCAACTAGTTTGGCTCGAAATCGTTGGATTTTACGCGAATTAACATTGAACTCTCACAACCTATTAGCAACACATTTGTCAGCTGGTAATAAGATAAATGATTCAACAAATGAAGAACTGTCTCATACAAAATATTTGCCTAAGAAAATTGCAGTGCACCAGTCGGTTTCACTATTAATTGATTAGTCTATTCCAGTAGTCCCTACCAGCTGTCCTCTTTGGTGGGGACAAGCTAAATTGATAAATTTATTAGGTATACAGTTTCTCTCGTAGGACCTATGGATTTTACTTATTGTTTAGAAACGTCACCAATTATACAAAATTATTACGATACACGAGTACTTTGTGTTTTGACGACCTCTGTGGTCGAGTCGCTTGCACACCGGTTTTTATGGTGTCGCCATATCTGAGGTCCCGATTTCGACCCCTGGCCGACTCAATGTAGAAACTGACTTTTCAGTATTGTCTCGGGTCTGGTTGTTTATGGAACTGTCGTTGTTTCCGATTTCCATAACAAAAGTGTTTTATTGAATTACTTTGGCTATGTATATGATTTGTTTAATATTGGTCCAAGCGAATTAAGATAAATAACAAACTTTAGTGGGACGAAGATAAATTCCCTTAATTTTATAACATGTCTTCTCCTAACTTCTTATCTTATCGATGAGATACTTATGCGACACAGCTTAGACACACCTAGATATTATGGAACGTAGGTCACGATGAGAGATGGGCCATCGTTTAACCTGTTGAAACCCAACAAACTACAAAGAGAAAAACGCTAAACGCACAATTTATACATTAAAATCTGATTTATTGGTATGCCAAAAACACTCCACAAAGTTTTCAGCTGACGCAAGAGAACGCTGAGATTCCTAGAGAAACTTTTAAGGGTGAAATAATTGTCTCTTGTGGGTTTGGGTGTGATTTGTCGTTGTGTATATGTATGTGTATGTATGACACCCGTGATACAGGGTTTCCCTAGTACGGGGCTATGAGTGTGTGAGAAAAAAGTACCATCCGATAACCACAGAACGAAATTATCCTTCCTGCGGCAAACTTCAGTCATAAGCCTGTTCAAAGATTACCAAATCATAACAATTCATATACTGTCGGAAAACGAGAGAAACATAGATTTTTTTATAATATCAAGTAACGGGACGAACAAGTCGTGCGCCTGATGGTAAGCTACACGCCTGTCCATAACAGTTGCAGTGCCACTCAGAGCTTTAAATCGCAAAGATCTGAGTGGCACTGCCACTGCGCCCGTCGCTTTGAAACAAGTTGATGAGTCCCATGTGCCTGTAATTTCAGCAGCACTCTTACTCTTCAAAATCGGAACACAGTAATGGTGGCAGTACTTCCCTGGGCGAACATTTTCACAAAGAGCTCTACTACTACTAGACTCCTTGGCGCCAAAGGATGCACCTTGCATGAGTTGCTCAATGTTCAGTGGATGTGTCGAAACTAATAAAGACTTCACAAAACTTTCCGGCTCCTCAGTCTTTGTTGCATTGTGTAGTGAACAATTTTTCATTTAAAGGGTGTCACTTCGTATAGTAGTTAGGTGTAGTTTAAAAATAACAATAAAATTCAATATTTACAGTTTTTACTACTACTTTCTATATTAATAGACCAATAATACTAATTTTCCCACATAAACCTAAAAACCCTGAAGTTTTTTCATTTTTAGAGTTACTTAAAAAATACGTGTACTTCATAATCACTTTGAAAAGTATTCTTAACAATAACAACTTGCATTCGGGGTTTTAAAGATATAAGCCGCAATACATGTATTATTTTATGTTAAAATACAACATGTTATACAATTCAAAAAACTCTCAGAACAGCTGTTTTGAGAGTTTAGAGCTAACGCTTATTTTATTATACAATGACACAAAGCTGTAACATTGTATAATGAAATAAGTGTTAGCTTGCTCGCCTGCAATACGGATCGCATTCGCGTCGCGGTCGTATCGTACTCGTTCCCCGCACCCTGCCCTACGGGTCATGCAATAACAACTGACCATGTACTTCGACTTCAGTTTTACAAACCATACAGCTGCACGAACGAATGATGATGCACACACATGACAGAGCAACAGCTATTATAGCAAATCACCTTGAGTGTCCCTACCTACTCGTAGTGAATCAGGCGACGTGAACCGCGTCCTGCAAACACGCTTCGTTTGCCGGATCGAGCGCTGAAGGTTCAACCTTCGACGGTCAGGTCGACGTTCAGCGAGTTCTACGAAAATCGTTGTATGATTTATAACTAGAAATCGAAATACAACGAATGCAACAGAGATGTAAAATGCCATAGAATTGTTTGACTAGCTAAGTAGAATTTAAGTCACGGCCATTATCGTGTCGCACCCATTCTTTTATTATTAAATTATTCATCCGTATGCAAATACACTATACTTACTTACTGTAACAATTACTCTAATGTAAAAAACCTTTCACTTCGTTTACAATACCGTTAATATTTTATATGTAAAAATAATTGACAGTTGGTATTACTTAATATTGTATATATCAATTGATTATTTTTGTTTTTGTAATAACAAGATTTTTAAATATTGACTATGTTTTTAAAACCGATATAGTAAATATTGGTTATATCCTTTTCATTCGGATAAAAGATTTTATATATTATTTTTTATTGAATCAATTATTTTTATGTGAAATTACTCCACTAGTTTGTTAGAATTATTAATACAAAATTCGAACACTCCGAAAAAATTCCTTTGATCCGGCCGGATTCGAACCGACGTCTTCTAGCGTACCGTGCCGAAAGTTATACCAACTAAGCAACGCAACGAACCAGCGGACCTCATGAATTGTGTTTGATGTCGTTATTGTATTTGGTTTTTCAACGACTTTTTAGACGTAGCGCCATCTATGAGAAATCTTAAGTATTTCTTAGATTTTATATTATTCGAATTATCCGTAGACCAAAAATAGGCGATTATTGTTGCAAGCCCTAGTTCCAGAATAATAGACCCCAGTATTACGATTTTCCCATAATACATTTTAACACCTCGTTATTTCTAGTGACTTAGTTTTGATAAAATACATTTTAATAATAAAAACATATCGAGTTCTTGGGGCTTAGAAAGTATTTTTGGCACTAAATGTTTTGGAAAAAAAATGTAGCGTTCAAATTGGAGTATATATTTCGGTAAATTAAAAATAAAGTACTTAATTTAATGACTACTGTGAGTTTAGATCTAAATAGGGTAATTTGCATTACCTTAATACTAAACTGGTTGATGACTAATACCATCTCAATCAGCCGTAAACGTACCTGGTACCTACTACACCCACCGCTCTTACGCTAGCCTGATTTCAAGTTCCTCAACTTCTTCAAGCTAAACCTGTTCTTCACCTTTACGCTCTTACCGCTGGGACAGTTATCTTTCCCGTGTGAGAGGTTACTAAGAAATCTTTTAGAGTAAATCGGCCGTTTGCCCGAACCACGTGTTATTTAGGTCGATGTATTAGACATAACACGTTGTTCTGCCATACGGACGAAATAGTAGTGGCTATGTGAGTAAAACACGCAACCACAACTTGTCAAGACGACGCTCTAGATACTACAGATATATCTCTATATTTGAACTGCTGCACCAGCACCACCGCGTCTCGCCAACTACCTAGCTGCCCACCGATCATGCACCTCTGTCCCTAGTTTCTAACTCTCAAAAATAATAGCCTCCTAATTCGTGGCACCATCTTTTCATCTACACGCTACACCACTCATCTTGCTCAGTGAGAGTGTAGTAACACGTATGGGTTACCAAAAATACATAAGGCTGACACCCACTCCGTCCTATGGTTAGCCAGATTGACACACCAACCTACAAATTGGCTCAACCCATGGCAAAGGTACTGTCACCATTGAGAGTGAACACTTCTACACATGTGAAGGATTCATACCATTTCATCAGTGGAATCCAAGATCTACGGTTAACTGATGATGACACCATGGTCAGTTTTGATGTTCAGTCGCTGTTTACCAACCTACCAGTAAAAGACTGCATTGAAATTGTACGTAGAAAGCTAAGGGAACATAATATGTCCATTGAATATGCAGAATTATTAGAACACTGCCTAACATCAGGCTACCTATTGTGGAATAATGAATTCTACCTACAAATTGACGGTATAGCGATGGGCTCCCCGGTATCTCCAGTTGTGGTCGATATTTTCATGGAAGACTTCGAGGAGCGAGTTTTACCCATGGGTCAAGCTAGGCCGAAGATTTTCAAACGGTACGTTGATGATATTTTCACAATATTACCTACAGATATACCTTCTTTCTAAGCATACCTTCTTTCTTGGACCATCTTAATTATTTTAGTACTAAAATCCAATTTACTATGGAACAAGAGAATTGTGGTACTTTAGCTTTCTTAGATGTTTTAATTAAAAGAAATCCTAATAATACTGTAGGCCATACTGTATTTCGAAAAAAACCCATACAGATATGTATCTCAATGGTAATTCCCATCACCATCCTAGCCAGTTAGCTACCGTTAGCTACAGTTAGCTACAGTTAGCTACTGTAGCAAATCTTTGTTTCAGAGAGCACATGGTGTCTGCGACAGTAATCATCTGGCAGGGGAACTTCAGCATATAAAGCAAGTCCTACATGCGAATAAGTTGAAGATTCCACGCCAATGCCGCAGACCCCATGTGAAACCACCAACAGTCGAGCGAAGATCTGCCATCTTATTTTACGTGATA